AATATGTGGCAATAATATATAGCAACAATATACGACAATAATATATGGCAACAATATATGGCAACAATATATGGCAACAATATATGGCAATAATATATGGCAACAATATATGGCAATAATTCATGGAATATATTTTTCGTTACAAAAGTCAATGCAAATTTGCGGCATGCACAATGTAATAATAAAAGAGCTCTCTGTGAGCATTGAGTCAAACGCTCACCGATGATGATATTGATGATGTCCTGTTGCATTCAACAGGACCACCAGATCCACCAATGTCCGCCCATGTCCGCTGCTGCTCTGCATGTCGCGCAGCATCCATCTTGCAGCGCGTCCCATGTTGGTTGCTACACTTTCACCATACTTCCGCGACGCGGTCGATACTTGTATTAGAGCGGCGATATTTGCCTCAGTTAACGAACGTTTTACGTCGACATCGGTGGAAACATTTTACGCGCTGCGAAACGGACTCTATAAACTCGATCGGCGAGGAGCAAAAACCGTGTGAAAATTTATCGACTCGTCCAACGGATTTTTACGGCGCTTTTCGCGATCGCGTCTGAAAAGTCGCGAAAATGCAGGAATATCGATATCTACGAGTGAAATATTCGCGAATGCATGAGGAAAGATTAGACAATCAGAAACCGATCACTCCGAGGGAGCGCAAAGAGAGAGAGAGAGAGAGAGAGAGAGAGCGAGGCAAAGTTTTCACGCATGATAGTTCCGTCACGACGAAGCTTACGTTCGCGATACTTTGGCGAAATGAGAATTTAAGTTTTCTTTGTTAGCAGCGCGGATAAAAACGCGTATATTGATAACCGCGGTCGTGATATTCAAAGGCACGCGAGCGAGGATAACTCAAGCTCGGCGTGCGCTGGCGCAATTTCTGCGCGCATTATACGCTACTCGAGACAATAGGGATCGTGATGAATGGACAATATTGCCAAATAATTCTACAGCCTGTTTTGCAAATAAAAGAAGATGAGCCAACGGTATCGGCATTTATGCGTATGAATATATTTTACATGGACAATTGAATATTGTCAAATAATTAAATCGTTAAATAATTCTGCGGCCCGCTTGAAAAATAAAAATAAAGCGACTGATGACGGCATCGCGTTTGTACATATGAATATCTCTTATTCAGATGACTGAACACCAAAAGAGAATTATTCAGTATTTTAATAATTTCAGTAATTTAAATCTCGTATGTAACGCAGGCTATCGATTAAGTAATCCCCTGTGATTGTTTCGAGCAATGTATTTTATTCAACGTCACAAATACACACATAAGAATCTATTTGCAATTCGCATTGACTCGAACGATATTTTTTAGTCCCACATCCGTCATGCAGAATTTTGTTTCTCTTTTCATTTTGACTCACCGAAACGACTTGCAGTCAGAGCCGGCCACGTTCCGCTTCAACTCTGTAACAAAAAATTCACATTTGCTCATCAGATTTGACCAACGAGTGCGGGCGAGTAAAAGAGTCATTTACCCTCTGCGATCGTAATTCAAGTCAAGCCGGAAATTATATCCCAGCTCTAGATCGCTAAGGGTCAAACAGAGGACTATAGTAAACTTGTAAACTTACCTTCAAGCCGACTCTGCTTGGCCCGAACCGGATCCTCCGGTGCGGCATCCGCGTCCACCGGATTGCTATTGCTTTCCGCAACAACTGAAACAGAAAAATAATTTTCCTGGTTGATAACCTGCGGTAGAGAGAGAATATCTTTGATCGGGACGAATAAAAAATACGGATATATTTTGATACGGAATTTTCATCTTTATATTTTTGTTCCAACATTGAAAATTTAAATGGGACTTGAAGCTTTCAAGAGAGCTGATGAGGAACCAGTTACAAAGGCAAAGATCGTAACGAGTTGAACACAGATGTGTAGGAAACTTGTAAACTTTACCTTCCGGCCGATCCTGCTCTGCCCGAACCGGATCCTCCGGTGCGGCATTCGCATCCGCCGGACTTGCTTCCCGCAACGTCTGGAACAAAAATTTAACGTTCTTGGTTGGCAAGCTGCGGTAGAGAAAGAATGTTTGGTCGGGATAAGTGGAGAATATTCGCTACGATTTTTTTTCTTTATTGACATTGAATCTAGTCTAGATAGGACTTGGAGCTCTTGAAAGAGCTGACGAAAAAAAATGACAACAAGAAGCGGAGACAACAGTTGTGTGCTCTCGAAAATACTCTTTTACGAATGGACATTTAAATTTAGATCCCGTAACGAGAGTAAACAGACTTGAAAGAAGCGCTGACCGAAAACAAAAAAGGTTGCAGTCTATGAAGCGGTATGACGTTGAATATTCTATGCAAGACCGGTATACTCACACAGTTGAGAATTATTCAGAATGTTTGATTGAGAACATGATGAATTAGAGATCCGCGTTCATGGACCGTTATCCGCCTCTGTCTGGATCAATACCTCTTGTATACAACAACGCAATAAATAGATAAACAGACCGAGAGTAATTGCAGATTCATAAAGTCATGATTACTAGTCGGATGATGACGGATTGTGAATGCCGAGCGCGAAATTCCGAAATTCATATTCCCGGAAAATTTGTAAAATGTCCGCTCTCGTTATCGGAGACCTCCCGCATAATAAATGATTCCACATACCTGGAAACGTGACGTATCGCTGCCGGCTGCTGGAGTCCTTCGGATTTCACTCGTTCACACTTCTAATGCCGATACTCGCGATTCGACCGTGCGGTTAATCAACGCGATATGCCGATTGAGTATCTCGAGGAGCGACGAGATACATTTCTTTCAATAGACACGAGACGGAAGTGACGAGCGCGTCGCGCACGGCTGCTGTTGATGGAATGAGGTCGAATACACGAGGTGCGGGAGTATTATAATACGAAGGGCAAAAAATGTCGTCGCTCGCGAGCCGATCAACACAATCGGCGCGATGTAAATATTGCAGGCCTCGGCGGCGGTTGAAGCAAGAGAGACTTGCCCTTGGACGTCTCTTCTTTTCTCGAAGGTTCCGAAACGACGAAGGGAATGCTAGGAGGCTTTTCAACTGTATGCGACATTGATGCACTCTATTTATTGATTGCTGAAAATAAAGAAAATTACTCTGTCGAAGCATCGGACATTTGTTAGCTTTATGTTAATTAAAGAGGAATGTGTACGATTAGAAAATGTGTTAGCAACTAATTGTACAGAGTGTCAAAGTTGTGTGACGCCGTTTTCAGAGAATAATTAAAGATCATGGTAGCGTTAAAGAGAGGAATTTCATCACATGCGAATTTTGTCTCGTTCTTATTAAATGTTAGTCCTGTATAAAATATTTTATTTAAAAGTATTGTTTCGCATTCACGAAATTTTGTCGAGAATTCTGCTTTGCGGAAATCTCAGATTGGATCGCGGGCCAATACATTTCAATGCGACGGGGAATAGAACGTGAAAATCTTGTATGCCTCTGAATCCGAAAACAATTAGGAGAAGAAGTGAATACTTTTCAATACGAAAGTTCGCATTTGAAAATTATCGATTGCGATTGAATACAAGGCATATTTGAAATGAATTAAATCCTTTTTAATGCGAAGCATTCACCACTGCCATCTCGCATTTAGCGCGGTGAAATTTAATGAGAACTAATACTTTTTAGTCCTTTTCTTCGGATCAGAAAGCAGAATTCAGATGTCAATATTCAAAATGTCAATACTTTTTAATATGTTTCAGTTCGACATTTTATACAGGGAGATTATTCGCTGCGGACAATAACTCTTCTACTTTTCATCTAATATTCAGTGATGATAAATAACATTTAGTTGCATTCGTTTGGCTGTTTTTATTTCGAAAATAAAAAAATATATCCCAGGGTGAGATTTCACCCATGACAACATCAACGTGATTTTCTTTGATGTTATTTTTAAAAGTTCAAATATTTCGTCGACTCGCGGGATATTTATAATCGGAGTCTCGTTGCGTTAATTAACACGTGCTCCTCCGAGCGGATCGAACGCTCACCGACGGCCATTGTCAGTGCCACGAGCGAATATCCGGAGCGGACGGGATGCTGAATTGAGAAGCAGGATGAAGGGAATGGGACGCGAGCATCATGCGATACATCATGCGTCTCCAGACATGTCAAATCGTTTATTTAGAGGAGACTTTGATACAGCAACATGTATTCGAAGATTTAACATTTAATACGTACTTTTATTTTTTCTACTCCTCCCCCCTCCCGCCTCCCCGCTCATTTTAGACCTCTGGGCATAGTCTGGTATAGAGATGGCAACTGTGTTTGCAGCACGGACATAAACCGTCTGAAAATGGATGTAGCACGGACTTCCACCACATGCAGATTTTACCACCGAGATCTGAAAGTGGATGTAGCATCGTAGTTCCCCTCTCAAAATGGATGCAGATGGCGTCCTTTCCCAGTGCGAAAAGTCGATGTCGCAGAAAATGTCGTGTTGGCCGCTCTCAGGTTTCTCTCTGGTTATGACTAATAGCTCATTGTAGAATGGCCATTATATTTAAAACCGTCTTAAGTTTATCTTCAGATATTGTACGGATCGTTTCATTGGCCACGAAATATCTAAAGATAAATGTAAGGCCTTCCACAATGCCAGGCAAGAAGCAATAAGAATAAAAATAGACCAATCACAATCAACTATTACGAAAATAATCTATTGTGATTGGTCTATTTTTATTCTTATTGCCTGTTGCCTAGCATTGTGCAAGGGGCTTAAGATTCTACTATGAATATCAGTTTTAGATGTCGTATATGATAGACATTTAGCCACAGGTGATTATTGCATAAGTTCAGTTTAAAAAGAACAGATATAGGGAAAAAAGTATGTTTGTTTTATTTTGACTTGTTACATGTAGTTCGGAAGTTCTTTTAAAACGGACCAGTGGTACGATTCTTTAACTCGTTATTGGAGTTAACGACAGTTTCTTTATCGTTGCGCAGCTTTTCTATGGTATACAAAAGCTGCGCAACGATAACGAAAATGTCGTTAACTCCAATAACGTGTTACAGAATCGTACCACTGGGTTCTTAGGTGCATAGATACTTCACTGAGAAGCGACAGTTATGTTCGCGTCCAGTCCAGAGCGACATTCGATTGGTCGATTATCTTTCGACTTTTCCATCACTGATTTGGAGGTTTGATGCACGTGCGGTTCGAGTATACATAACCTGTTGTATGCGAAATGTTAATAAGTTTACCGTAAATGTTTATAATGAAAAATGGCTAGCGTAAATGTTCTCGATAGTGTAATTTCTACACTCGATAATGTTGGAACTTTGAAACATTTACAAACGTAAGTAATACATGTATAATTCCATTATTTTATATAATTATTTAATAATAAAGTGATGGAATAAGTTCTATGGTTACTGTAAAATGATAAAAATTAATCAAATATACAATTTAAAAAGATAGATTTTATAGTTTTGTTAACATGATGAATCTTGTTCAAAATTGTATAGGAAAGATAATCTTTTATGTAACCTGTTACAAGCTGCTGAACTTTACATATCTTTGCTAATGTATTTATTCTACAATTTCAGTGAACAAAATGTACTGGACCTGAAGAATACTACAAAACATCTTTATGATTTCACTAAGAAGCAGTCTTCCAGGAAATCTGATGCATTGCCTGAATTAATTACAGAAGGTTTTGATGAAGAGCAAATTTGGCAACAACTGGAGTTGCAAAACGAATGCGAATTAACACATTTTTCAGAGAGTATTTCAAAAATTTTGACTAGTAACAAGCTTATAGTTCCAGTGTCTTCTACAAAACCTGAGCCAACCTCAATACAACCTGAGGATAATTTAAATGAAGAGGGCGAAAGCCTATCTGATGATAAAGAATCAGAAGATGAAAATATAAAAACAAAAAGCATTTTAAAGAAAAGGAAACGTGAAACAAAGAAGAAGAAGAAATCCTCTATTGTGGATGACAAATTTTTTAGGTTGCAAGAATTGAACGAGTATCTAACTAAAGAAGAGAAAATAGAAAAGCAAGGAAAGAAGGATGCTGAATCTGATGATGAATCAGTAGATTTATTTAATGACTTTTCCGAAGATGAAGGCAACAAGAATATCCAAGGGAAGTATTTGAAATATGTAGATTTTTTTGACAGTCCTGCTTCAAGTGAGGAATCTGGGGAGGAAAAGTCAGATGATGACAATGAAGGCCAAAGATCAAACAGTGAGGATGAAGGGACGGGCGATGATGAAGAGGAGGAAGATGAACATGTATCCTCGAGCAAAAGGGTGAAATTCAATCTCATCAACGACTCAGACGAGACAGACAGCTTGGAGAACAAAATGGAACAGAAGAAAAAGGACAAAGAAGAAATGGAACCAAAATCTTCTCTGGAGACTCGTCAGGAGAGGCTGCGGACAAGGATTCAGGAGTTGGAGGAAGAAGCTATCAGCGAGAAGCCGTGGCAATTGAAGGGTGAAGTGAGCGGTCCTAATCGTCCGCAAAATTCCTTGCTGGAGGAGTTTGTGGAATTTGATGTATCCACGAGGCCTGCTCCCGTGATCACCGAGGAGACCACGATGAAGCTGGAAGACGTAATCATGCAGCGGATCAAGGACAAGGCCTGGGATGACGTTGAGAAGAAGTTCAAGCCAGTCGAGACCCCACTGGAATACAAGAAGAAGCTGGTTCTGAATCAGGAGAAGAGCAAGGAGAGCCTGTCGCAAATCTACGAGAACGAGTACTTGAAGCAGAAACAAGCATTGTATTCAGACGATGACGAGAAAGAGGAACCGGTACCGGAGTTGCACCACGAAATTCGAAGAGATATGCGTAGTCTGATGGCAAAGTTGGATGCGTTGTCGAATTATCATTATACTCCCAAGCGGGTGAGTGATGCGATATCCACGAAGTGGATATTTTATACATCGATTCTTGATGATCTCCAACTTCCACTAAATACCCGTGATTCCTGTTTCAGGTTAAACCCGAAGTGAAGATCATTAGCAACGTATCAGCTGTGAATATGGAGGAAGTGGCGCCGGTCGCGACTAGCGATGCTGCTATGTTAGCACCGGAAGAAATCAAAGGTATACCTTGGATTATCTACTTGTCGCAATCGCGTATGTACCGTTGGGGGACTTGCGGCATGATATCGTTGAACGTAATCTTCATTTCCAGCTAAACCGCGTGGCGAAGTCATCGGCAAATCGGAGAGGACGCAGACGGATAAGAAGCGCGAGAGGAGGCGAAAGAAATTGAGGCAACGAAGCAAACAGAAGGCGATAAAAGAGAAGGAGAAGCTAAGAGCACTGAAACCAGGAGTCGCCAAGAAGCTGAAGAAGGATAAGGAGTTGGTGAAGAAGCTGACTAAAGACAGAAACATCACGAAGGCGGACGAGACGAGCCACAAAGTCACCAAGTCTTCCACTGCGTTCTTCACGCGGTTGCAAGACCAGGTGAAGAGCCAAGTGAAAGTGCAGGCCGGTGGCGCAGGCGCGTCGAAGAAGAAGAAGGCTAAGAACGCAGTGTCGGCTGTGAAACTCAAGTTGTAGTTTTCAGGTGTAACTTTTGTACATAAAGTGTTGTCGCATTACACACCGCCGAGATTCATTCCATTACATTTGCGTCATCTTCGAGTGTCCCGTGTCTTTTGTTTTCTGTTCTCGTCACGAATTGTTTTGCTCTCGTCGCGGAGGAACACGCAAGAAGCGGAAGCCACGGAACAAAGCCACAACGTAAACTCAACGCGCAGTGTGTAAGATATACATATATACATACACTAAAAGATGTTTTCTTACAGCTTTATTGCGTGAGAGATATATGTATGCATTTACAGGGTGGCACCCTGCGTTCTTTAAATCATATTACCATCTTGTAATTCCTTGTTCTTGCGGATTTATAATACGGGCTGGATATTGTGCAAAGGAATATATAACAATGGATGAGGGATTTATGAAGTAATCTCTCTCTCGCTCTCTCTCTCTCTCTCTCTCTCTCTCTCTCTCTCTCTCTCTCTCTCTCTCTCTCTCTCTCTTTCGCTCTCGCTCTCTCTCTCTCTCTCTCTTTCTCTCTTTCTCTCTCTCTTTCTCTCTCTCTCTCCCTCTGTGCCAGAGACAAATCCGTACTTAACATCCATGTACAGATATTGATGCCCGCGTACAGGCCCAATATACTAGTTATTGTCAAAGTGATGGTGCTACTTCCGTCACGATGTAGGATGATTGAACAAAAAAAAAATGAATCGTGCGTATATATATATGTATAGTTCATATATTAGTGAAAAATGTTCCCAATTCATCATGATATGCTGCAATTTCGTTTCAATGTGCCTCGTCGAAATTTGCTAAAACACGTACAAACGCGCTAAGTCACACGTGGTTACTTATAAATGCAATTATTCGTATGTGTAACATTATCTATATATATATATATATTTTTTTTTTCTTTAAGAATATCTAAAAACGGTGTCTTGCACAGAGAAGCAAAGGTGGATTACACAAGTAGTCTTTTTTTTGTACATTGTCAATGTCTCGAACGATTTCTTGTCGCGTGTCGTTTTTTATGATTGCACTGTTTATAATTACAAAGATCTAAATTAAAATAATTAAGCTAATCTTACGGATCTAACGATAAGCTGGTATTAAAATTACCGTGATTTATGTAGATTTGATTGAGAACCCTTCTTTTAAAAATACTTTTTCTTATATTCGTTTAAAGTATGCCTCCGTAATTTCTTTGTTTTTCTTGTTAGCCTTCCGCCCTGTCGACGAATATTCACTGAATCGCATAACACCACCGTGTGAAGTTGTCATGTAAATTAAAGTTACGTCGTTCGACTTGTATAATAAGCACAGATCGGATGCTACATATTTTCAGAACATCCGCAGCAAGGCCGTGAAATATCCATGTCTTCAGGCGTTTACATGTTACTCGTGCTAATTACTCGGCTTAATCGCTCGAGCGCCGAGGAGCGCGATCGCGCTCTTGCGATTTTTACATTCAAAAAAAAAAAAGGAAAAATGCCAACGAGCGCCATCGCGGTCCTTTCGTCCCGCAGATGAGAAGATTTGTAACGGGCGCTATCGCACAACCGCGTCTTTTTTTATTTCGTCATAGACTCACTTTTCATTGTTTTCTATCGCTGCTTCTCTTCTCCCCTTTCCAACGAGTCTCAACCGTACACTTGTTTTGTTTTCGACTCTGAAAGCGCACGCTAGTTTAGCGATTAAAGCAAACCAACATCGGTTTTGTACGCATAAACCGAGCCCATAAGAAGCTACAAACACTAGAAGAAGTCTGGAAAGGACGAGCCTCAAGGCATTCGACCTTCGTCTAGCTTCGCTCTTATCGGAGAAGACTGACGAAGATAGCACGCTATGGACGATGGAAGCGGGATACGCAAATGTCCTTTGTGTCCTGAGGGCCTATTACGGTTGATCTCACACTTTCATGAAGGCTGGTTCATCATTGGTTATTGGAAAAATAGAATGAAATTAATGAAATGAACATTACGGAGAAGCACAAAAGAATACTATTAAATCAATATCAATATTGACGTTAATATTAATATTAATTATTAATTATTATTAAATTGTCTACTGTATGAAAACAGTTTCTTTTCGTTACTGTTCTCCGGCCTGTTCTTTTTAGCTGAAATGCTGCACCGGTGCAACAAGTCAGAGTCATACACTTCGCTGCGTCGCTTCAACTTCCTGCGTGAAATTTCGTATCGAGTCTGTCCACGCGAGTAATTTCGTACTTTCACGAGGTGGAATTAATTGTAATTACCCGCTTCTTCATCTAATCCGAGAATCGTAATAGACCCCCAGTCTTCCAATCTCTCTTATGGGAAAGCGCAGTCTATATATACGAAGAGACTCTCAAAATTTCGGCTTAACTAACGGACGATTACCTCAGAAAAATCGCCGACATGGAAAGATGAAACGTTCTCATCGCTATGGGGAGATGAGGAATCTCTTTACATTCGCTCAATAATTTTAATTCATTCACTTGTGATATATAGGATGTCTGAAAAATCCCGGACCGATAAAATATCTCGAAAACAAGACATTTCAGAGAAAAAGTTTCATACAAAGGTTGTATGGTTTCAAGGGGAACATGAAACAACTATTTCATTTTATTTACAGATGACGCCACTTTCGAGATATTCGTGTTAATTTGATGATTTTTAAATTTTTAAAGGTCGATAAGTTAACAAAAGGGCACTATTGTAACAATATATTCTAGAGACTAAATAGAGTCCAGTAACTAAAAAGTCCAATATTATTTTTTTTCTAATGAATGGTCAGCGAGATATTGTAAGTTAAATATTGAAAAGTTAAGTTTTTTTTAAATATCTCAAAAAAATATTAGACAAATAAAAAAATATTTCGGACAAAGTTGTTAAAAATTGATTGGTAAAAAGAAATGATATAATAAAAAATTAGGATTTCCATTTAAGAAAAATAATGATCAGTGAATATCTCGAAAGTGGCGTTACCTGCAAACAAAATGATACAGTTGTTTTATGTGCTCTTTAATCAATCAGGGCTAAGTTTACTATATTTGAGATTATTTTCTTGTTTCCAATTGTTCCAAATTTCAATCCAATCTCAATCCCAATCCATAGTCTGATACGAGCTTTTGAAACCATACAACTTTTGCCTCAAACGTTCTTAGTATCTTTTATATTTTTCGACATTTTTGCCTGGCTCATTTAAAATGAGTCATCCTGTACATATGTCTAATTCAAGTGATAGAAACGAGAAATGAGAAATTCTACGGGGTTCCTACTGATAACCGTCCTTTAATTCAGCCGGAACTTGGCAAGAGTCGCCCAGAGTCTACAGATTGGATGTTGTCGTGCAATTGTTGCTAAGCCTCTCTCTCTCTCTCTCTCTCTCTCTCTCTCTCTCTCTCTCTCTCTCTCTCTCTCGCTCTCTTTCTCTCAAGGGCAGTCAAACGATTAATGAATAACGCAGTACTTCGAAGCACCGTACACGTATGTATACATCTCATCATTTCAAATCTTCGCCTTGGACAAGCCTGACGAGTCGGGAGTGAACCTGGCCGAGGCGCGCATTTCCGCTAAAAATCGGAACTCCGAACTCATCGAAGCCGCATAGTTGTTGAAACGCTCGACAGACTGACGGGAACGCAGCGCAGTGACAATCTGTCGAGCGGCCTACAAGTGTCACGGAGTACAAATGTGTAGTTTACGCACTCTCACAGAGTATAAATGTGAAACGCTCGCTTGAACGCCTTGCGCCGAACGCCATCGGGGAGGGAAGGGGGAGGCGGGGGCGGGTGGGTATGATAAAGGGAGGATAACCCATCTGTGCGTATTATAATTATTTCGAGCTCTAATTCGCACGATGAACGCCCTTGTCATGAGGGTACAGTCGCACTTTGATGTCTTAATGGCACTTCTACAGTGAAACCATACTCCGCCAATTTGGACAACTACGTCATGCGAACGGATTTCGTACGACCCGAGACGACGAGATCGTACCGGCGGCCTGATATCCACGACAGTGAACCAAACTCCTCCTTCGTACATATATATGCGTAATATGTAAATAACCCGGCAGACTAGGCTCTCCTAATCCCAGTGCGATCGTTTTTGCGTAGAGTCTATATGTTAGCGGTGCTAAGTCGCTCAAGAGGCCTCCCACTTTGGCGGGTCCGAACGAGTCGCTGCTTCACGAGTCTTTTGCTTCACACTTTCCGGATTTACGGCGTTCTTACCCTCCTGAATTTTGCGGAAAATTTCACCAAAGCTACGATGCAGGACGATTGGCAACCGATTGCGGAAACTAATGATGAAAGATTTAGTGGTGTCACGGCTATTGTCAAATGTGCAGCGTTCTCTTCCGAACCACCAAAGTGAAAGACTCCCGTTTTTCTCTCGTTCTCGTTCTCTCTCGCTCTCTTCTTTCCTCTCTGTTTCTCCCTTTCCGAAATCGACTCGAATGCTGTGATGAAGGTGCAGATGCCCAAGATTTAATCCCCAAAGTGATACCGAACAAACAGACCTGTATGAAATTTGCCCCGCACCCTTTCTGAATCTCGCGCTTTCATCGCGTTGTGTTACATTTTGTGCCCCAGCTCAGTAACAGACGCGTTGTATCGCGTCATCTATCAACATACTTGTACAAAGTGTCCCGTCATTCATCGCGGAAAATCTCGCAAGGGCTGGCCGACTCTTTGAACACTTCTGAGACGAAATCAGAGTACGAGAAATTTCCAAACTGTAAATAAAAGCGAACTAGACTTCATGAAACTTTTTAGCTAATTTCATACAACTTCATCAATCATTCACTCGGGCATGCTCCTAAGCGACGAACATTTGTGTTTACAAACAAAAATGGCGCGTTAACTCTTTAACGCCCACTTTTTTATAAGTGTTTTAAGAATAAAATTTGAGTTTCTTTGAACTGAGACTATAAATAGTGATAACAAAAAAAAATATCAGAATTTTATATTGGTTTTTTTATCGTTCGTTTTTTGTTTATTGGTAAATATGACTTGGATCCTAAAAGCATATATAAAATGAGCAACTTATACAGAGAAAAATGAAGAGTAATCTATACGACATAACTCTGATAGTCAGCTTGACATTTTTGAGCTGAAACTTTACTATATTTGTGAGTGAAATTTATCATTCAGAGCGTCAAGCTTACTATTTCAGAAGAATATCTTATAGATCATCATTTAGATAGTCAATCGTCCCTTCATTTTTCGCCGCATAAAAAACTGTAGGTCACCAGGTTTTAAGAAAATAGGTGGATTTCTTGATTTTCGTGTCCACCGTATTGGATCCGCCATTTTGAATTTCTGTATTCTTTTAATTTCACATTTTGCATCTGAGAAAGCTTCCAAATGTATAAAATTACAACTAATCTAACTAAAAATAAAAAATAAAGATACTAATCTATTCATTTATAGCGCACTTCTAGATGTCATTAACAATGCTAACTATGCCTACTTGGAATTTGACAAAACATGTTATCATTAAAACTGAGCTAAACCGAATCTACGTACAATCTATATATCATTTTTTAGAAGAAGAATTCACCTTTACAGTGGTGCAAAGAAAACGAAAATATCTCCTTTCTTGACTAAATTATGGATTCTTAAATGCGTTTCTGGTAACTACAGTTATCAGTAGGCGTTAAAGAGTTAAAATGTACTTCAGAAGTCTCCAAAATCGTCTCGGAATTATCAAAGTCTGTTGCCGTCACACGGAGATTGTACGTTTCGACAATTTGAGAACGATAAAGAAATTGATGTTTGAGTGATTAACTTTATTAGTCGAATGTTAATTTGCTTGCAAGCAACGAAAGATATCATAATATACATATGAGAGTGCTATTCAGAGACGAAACGAGCTTGGTTTAGTCGGGGTCTAAGAGTGGTACAAGAAGAGACGACATTATTTTATAATTTAGTCTTGCATTAAATTCTGATTAAGTTTAAACTGCCTGTAGAGTCAGTCTAAAAGGTTGGTTTAACCTTCAACTGCTACAGGTGAATCTCCTGCTAATATTCTTGTTTGGTTCTATTCGCATCTGTATATCTTATTCAATGTTAACAATCTTTCTTTTTAATATCGAATCCGCCAGGGAACTTTTCTCCTCTGTGCTTCAATTAGCCTTCCTACTTCGCTTCATTTTATTTGATGTATTCATTGATAATTTCATTGTCACAAATTAAAAAAAAGGAGTCTCAAAATGTAGACACGAACCTCAAAAGTCACGCTTTGACAATTCCCTGATGATTACATTTCACTGGCTACGAAGTGTCTGAAGATGAATTTAAGGCTATAAATACCGCCCGAAGGGTTTAATTTTCACAGTCCGAATTTAAACCATTTCTGAATTTCTGAAAATGTTTCTGAATAACATAACCTTATCGTTAATCCATGAACAGGCTAGACCATATTCACGAAGATTATTACGGTTTCACACGTTGTCTCTGAATAGCACCCCTAAAATTTATATCAATGCAATTTATGCTAATCAATGCACACTTATGTGTGGGATTTGATAGAAATGTTGTCTCGTCGGATAATACATAAACCATGTTGTTTAATGAAAAAGAAACACTTCTTGGTATGTCATTCTTTTCAAAAATTACATGTACTGCAGTACTGGACAACATAAAGTACGCATCTCGAACATTTTCACGTTTGAGTGAATAATCCGGCAGGTTTCTTAGTCAACTTTTAAATTTCAAGTGGAGAAATTCGGAAAACATTAAAAACTCTTTGATGGTCGAGTCTATTACATTAATTATTATGTTTATCTTGAGTTTTTAATGTTTCTGAAGTTTTTCACTTAAAACTTAAAAGCAGACTAAGAAACCCTTTTGTCCCCGAGTACATAATTATTCTATCTTTCAAGACTACCGAATTATCCACGTAGACGTGAAAAGGTTCGAGGTGCGTGTTTTATATTTCATCCAGTACTGTATATGTACCAACCATCATAAATGTTGGATTAAAGATCCAACAGTAATCATGGCTCCACTGCTCCGCTGATGTGCGTCACATACCTATCGCGCCAATTGGTTTTTACATGTTATTATTTTGGATTCCGCCGGCTCATACTAACTTCGAGATGACCGCCGCGAGGCCGCGTATGTCCGAAAATTTGCCATTGTAGGATTTTGGCTGTCGAACGACTCTGAATCCCGATTAGATGTTCGCAATTTTAGAAAGATGCTGGGTAAACGGATTCTTTATTGCTATCGTTGGAACAAATGCGGGAGTCATTAGTGAGCAGATACCCAATTATCGCGAACGACTTTCTTCAATATTGTATTCGTCACGGTTATGTTACAATCTCATCACGAGCGGCGATTTGCCACTTATCCCGCTTGTATTGTAGATCAATACCTTCAAAAGATGAATCTACATATTCTTGCGTCAATAATGTTTCTGTGTCATTAAGTCTTGAAAGTGAGAAAGCGGGTGGTCAGTTGAATAACATCACAGCGCATTTAAAAAAATATGAAAAAAAGAAAAATCGTCGCCCGCACTCCAAAGCATCAAATAATCTCTAACATGATACCGCGGAGTGCACTTGGATCTACTGAACTGGGGTTCGTGCGTTAATAGTTAAAGGTACAACACTGCGGAAGTGCGGGGCCAACTTCAAGTGGTAACGAACAAGTAACAAACGGTCGGGGAAAGCGGCGAGTTCCTTTAGAATGGAAATTGCTTTCCGACGCAGTGCTTGTTCCATTGCTACTCGAAAGTACTCGTAAACATATTGAGTTCCTCGAACCCAGACGAACCACCTTGATCTTGCAGCATCTGCAACATATCGGACAATTCCTGCGGCTGCGTGCCGGGCCCAGCCTGTCCCGGGTGCGGCGGTTGCGCTTGCGCGGCCACCTGAGCGCCGGCCTGCCCGTCGGGCTGCGGTGTCTGATGCTGTTGGCTCTGCCAGCCCCACATACCTGCAAAACGCAGCGCAAGATTCGATGGTTAGCCACGCGCCGAACAAAGCGCCGAGGGAGTACGACATCGGGTAGATTTACCAGGGTTATTAGGCACTGTTGTGACTGCGTGATATTGTTGAGTAGCTGGTGTCCTAGCGCCGCTACTGAGCTGCGTGTATGTCGGCCCGCTCGGTGACCTCGATGGACTTAATTGACTATACTGGTAACCCTCTGTCACGGGTTGCTGTCGAAGCGAGGCGAAATTTCTCTCGTGTATTATTCAGTCATGGAACAGCTGCTCGAAACAACCGGACACATACCTGTCTACCGATCGCCCACGCTTGCTGCACCGGGGTCGGGGATGTATTAGCCGGCTTTTGAATCCTACTTAGGACCGACGAGGACGCGCTCTGCTGTCCGGGTGAGCCATAAGCTATCGGCGAGTGCGTCGTCTCATAGCTCTGGTATACATTCTGTGTACTGGACGGCCTCGGTTGTTGTGGACCTGCGGAAGTATAGAGATTTAGTGGCAGTGCGCGCAGCAAAGGGACGGTTTTCCCGCGAAATCCCGGCCGATTGTCTTACTGGCTGTAGCTACGGTCGCCGGGTGCTGCATCATGTGATGCGCAGAGTACAATGGATCCCTGGCGGGGTGTCTCTGAAGAGAGTAATCCAGACCAGGTTGTGGGTATGCAGGTACTGCTTCGTTCTCTGTTTGCTGTCCGTCGCTGCTGGGGTGATACCCTGGCCTGGAAGGACATGCGAACATATTCCGAGAGTAAATCAGTGAGACGCGACAACTCGTGCAAAATGCGCGCAATGCAGCCTTCGTTCTTACTTCGTGTGCGTGTTGGTGCAAACGATATATTCGATGTCCTCGTTGAACGGATTTAGAAACGCGAATGCCGACGTCCTCAGCCATACCCAGTCGCGGTTCTTGGCTCGAAATCTGTACATTGCAGATACGACTTGTCCCTTCAGTTTCAACACTAAAAAACGAGGCGCCTGTTAACCACATCGCTCGTTGGCCGGAAGTGACGAGTGATGACGCGGCCTTGTTACCTTGCTCGAAGCTCTCCCGCATATGCGCCAGATCCTCCGGATGAAAGAAATCGTAGCATGGGTGACCCAAGAGCTCCGATGGAGTGTAACCCAAAATCCCACCGACTCTTTGGTCCACGAAAGTAAACTTGCCTTCCGCAGAGTGACGTGATATAAATTCTGTAACGAACATGAACGTCTAATTTACCACGGGAACTTATCGGCGCCGCTTACTGTGCGCTAAACAGACAGGTCTCACATCGAGACTGCACGAGAACTTGCAGAGCTTGTCGACCAAGTTGTTGACAAAGCATATCGTTGAGAAGCGTTATGCACTTACCGCTATTGCTATTGGAACCTGTTAAGTCGCTATTATTTGGTGTGCTAGTGACCTGTAATCGCCCAATGGCGACAAGGCAGCAATGCGTGGAGGCATTCTCATCCGTGACGCTGTCTGGTCCAGCTTGAACGCCCCCTCTGTCACCTAGACCCACACCTGGTACACATGGGGGAACAAAATCACCTACAGCGTAAAATCATGAGTCAGTCCATGATTTCTCGTTGATCGGCATAGATGAATATCTTAAAGAACTAGCGCTTTTCATAGAACCTAATTGTCAGGGACTCGCGCGAATGGGTCGGGTTTTTAACTGTGCTTTTCTTGAGTAACAAGTCAACAGTCGAAGTAGCTGTCGTCCTCGTCCACCTCTTTCAACCGCAATCTTTCAGGCAATTGTCCGCGGCCGAAAACGATTTATTTTTCAAGAATTTACCAACAATCCAACGAATATCTACGTAAAAATCCCTAATATGAACCATCGCGCCTCTTATCGTCGACGTTCCGGAAGCAAACGTATTCCTTAATCGCCTCAATCGTCGGTAGGAACCGGAAGGACTAAAAAGTAGAATCAATAGGATTTGGAGTTGGTCAGAAGAGACCAGAAGTTTTTAATGCTTTGAGTCCTGGAAGGTTCTGAGCATCGATCGTGGCTTGGCGACAAAGAGGAGCTTTTTCTATGAAATTCCAAGAAGGATCTTGCTCTCTGAAAAACAGCTGGAGGAGATGTGCTCCGATATCCTGCGAAGGGATTCGTCGAAGACGAATTTCTAAGGGGATTCCCAACTAGCCCGACGTTACGAGCGCGGAAGTGGAGAGCCGGTTAATTATATACCGAGTGCTTCCTCTTGGCGCAGCAGTGCTGCGCAACTCAAATTTCCGACTCCTCTAGACTCCTCAGCAACTCCCGACTTAAGCGCGGATAGATGTACGTTTTTATGAGAAAGCCTCCAAGAGCGGCAAGGTGAAGCCGATTGTATCGTCTACGGCGTCTACCGGCGTCGGCTGCGCGCAGACAGCCGTATCTTTCTAACGCAACCGATAAGATTGAATTAACCAGCGGCTGTCACAAAGCTATCGACGGAACAAAAAGAGGACTGCGCACGTGGTCATGAATATTGAACGAATATGTTAACAGCCGATGGCCGCTACGTTGCGAGTCTTGATGACGGCGACTCTCCATTCAGCAGCGAAAACGAGCTCCTTGAGCACCACTTCAATCCGAATGTGAACACAGGGTGGAGAAAAGCGCGCGATCACATATTTCTCCTTGGACCCGTCGATCTCTCATGATCGGAACATGCAAATGAATGAAGCTAGAGCTGAGGAGGGAGAAGAAGCATCTCGGCGGAGACGAATTCTCTTGATCCTGCTGATGGTAGCAGCGCCAGCGGAAGCCAACGGAGAGCGATATAGCAATAAAGCATCTTCAGCGGCCGTAATCGAGAGGGACGACGATCACTCCGCGACGTCTCCTGTACTTTTTATTTTCTTCTTTTTTTTAATTCCCTTAATTCTCGACGCTCATAACTTTTCCGGACTGCCCCCGCCCTCCGCCGAAGCGGAGACACTCTCTCTATTAGAGAGATTAGTGTATTTAATTAAAAACGCAGCCTCGGTCGAGAGGTTCAGCCGCGGCGGGGCAGCCCCATTCATCCTCGGGAATATCGCCGGCTGTCGGCCCCGTGGCGGTTCTTAATTTACAGTACACACGTAGCATACGCGTTCCGCCGTGTGTTCCAGGAACACACGGCAGTTCGTTCGTATTCTTCGGGCGCGGCGTCTCCCCCGCTTTAAAATAGAAAGCCGGCGCTGTGCATCGCGAGCCCGACAGACCGTTAGCAGTGGTAGTGGTGAGCGTCGTCGGCGTACGTAAGCTTTACTACTGGCCTGTTCCTAAGTCGGTTTCGGAAACTCTGGTTTCATTTGCAAGGTTGGCAGGCCTTGGAAACTATCTTGGACACATTCCGTAATTGATCAGTTGATCGACCATCAAAATAATAAGTAATGAGAAATCTATCCATTTCTCTAATATTGCAAAATTAGTAGTTGAAAACAAGCTTGTGAGCAGGAATAGTATACGGCTATGAACGTTTAAGCGTGATCAGCTGATTAACTACGGAACGTATTAAAATCAGGACCAGTCCACGATAGGTTGTCACGATGAGTTGCGAGTTGCGGAATGGCAAGTTGTCAATCATTGCAACGTAACCTATATACAGATGTCGAGAGTTGCAAGTTGTGAAGAAATAGCCAATCAGAAAATATAACGTCCGCTTCTTCGTTGCCCATTAATTTTAATCAATAATTAGCTAACAGAACAGCTAGATAATATTGGCCGTTTTTGTTAATTAATCGAAATTTAATGAAAGTCACTTTAATAATAGCATTAATACAACAAGAGATAAATAAAATTACTTGATGTCTGACAGCCTCGAGGCTGTATTGAGGTTATGAATTAAAAATAATCTCAAATTTTACACAAAGATGGTATATAAAATAGAGATACCTGTTTTATTGAGTAACATTGTAATAATTTTCCAATTATCATTTTTTCTCTCTATTCCTAAAATCTGGTTCAATTTTATTAATTAGGAATTGATTCGTTTTTATGTGTAGGATTAGTGATCGTATTTCGGACTCTTCTCCAATTACTTCAAGCACATCCAATTTATCCTGCTCGTCGGCATCCATTTTTTTTTACAAATAACGGAATGCGTATAAGTATCTACAAAACCATCAAAAACTACATCATTTATATCACACAACCTTCATCTGTGGTTTCGTGTTTCATTTCTCGCGCTCTTTCTGAACTCAATTGGCTGAGATATTGCGATTGCCGGTTGCTGTTGCCAAGAAGTTAAAAGTTGAGGAATTCTCTCTTAGCAACCGTGATTGTCTCCTGCAACCGAAAATAGCACTTTGCAACTAGTAGTTGCCATCCTTTGCAACTTACAACTGGGTGTTTGCAACTTATTCTGGACTGGCTCTTAGTTCAAGGCCTACCAACCTCGACTAACCAAAACCGAAGTTTCCTGGATTTCCGAAAACCACCAACACCACGTCAACGCGAAATTTCGAGGACCCGGCGAAAGTGCCGGGTCCTCAGCGGCAAGGAAGTTAACGTTACATATTGCTGATAATATCGCGCTGCTTTTTCCCAGATGAGAGTCTACGTGCTGCGGTCAATACATTCGTCAGTGTGAAAATGAAAAGATATCGCTATTTTTACCGGCTGCATTGGGCGAACTAGCTAGCGTTAAGAAATATTCATTTGTCGTCAATCTGGAAAAGTAGCGCAATACCAATCGCGATGCATAATGTAGCAAACTCACCGGTGGGTGGCCAGTTCTTGATGTAGCCGGTGCAGTGCACTACCGCGTAATTTTGACCGTCCCGTGCTGGCGGGCCCAACGAGTTCCTCTGCTTCATACGATGGAGGCCATGCGCGGCCGCCATGTCTCCCGTGGTCTGAAGGTTGCCGACTTTCATGCGACAGATGAAGCCCCGTCTCGAGCCCATGCACAGTCGCATCGAAGCTATGCGCGAGGAGAGCAGAAGAAGGAGGTGAGAAGGCTACGTTGGGATCTCTCCTTCGCAACTTCACCGTGACTGTCCCTCGCGGGACTCGGGCGAGTCGGAATAGATGAGGGTGTGAATGCTCAGACGCTCCGAAACTGAACCGAGTCGTCCAGTTCGTTTCTAAAACGGCTTGAACGTTTCTTCGCTCAAGTCGGAAGCATTTTAAACGTTTGCATGATTTAGATTAAATTACTTTGATAAGATTTCGTAAGTTCTGCTGTAAAAGCTTCCTTCCACTATCAGCGGATTCGTAGTCGTGATTGCTCGATACGCTTCAAGCTTCAGCAGAAGGAAAAGGATACGTTCAAGTCGTTTCGCGGAGTGTGCTGCTTCCAATTAGAATTGTTTCATTAATACTTACGTTCAAATCTCGTCGCCTTCACCATTTTAAACTTACATTGGCCTTCTTTCTTCACTGTCCCCGTCTTGAGGTCCAACACCCGGCCACCGTGTTGGGGCTCGGCAGCGCTCAACTGCTCGCGCACCTTCTCGGTGTCGTCCGGGTGAACTTGGGAGTAGAGGCTAGTGCCGTACCAGTCGCTCTGAGTGTAGTTCAACACTGGCGCGACCGAGTCCGACACGTAGATGATCCTGCCGGTGTCGCAACTTACGACGAATAGGAAGCCGTCGGCTGCCTCAAGGATCAAATGTTTCAGCTCCTGATCCGTGAGGAAAGACGGCTTGTAGGCGTTGTCTGTTGCGGTATTTCCGGTACCTGCGACAGGTCCCGCTCCATTACGACAATGTCCGTCGCGCAAGATGGCGAAATGACGGGGAATAATCCGGACATGTCCGATTTAACTTCGTTATGAGCGTGTAAAAGTGTGCGGATTCATCGCTACAACATCCACTGACCGACAGATGCTTGCCCGACAAATTGATTTCTCTCGACAGAAACTATACGCGCTAAGTAAATCGCTAAATGTTAAGTGTATGCAAAAGTTTTAGTCTTTTCCTCCAGCCCTCTGATGTAATTATTTTCAATCGAAATATTTTCCCACATTTTGTGTTTTTCCAAGGTGGGTATTGAAGTTTCTAAAACGCCATTCATTATGATTCATTTCGCATCCCACCAAATACACAAAAGGACCTTTTTGCTGTGAATATTGCCACCGATGTAGAAGGCTGTTCGGAGTCCACCCACGAATTTTTTCGATCTCATGCAGTCACCTTGAAACTGTTACTTGGTCAACCCTGCTGCAAGTTCTACTTGCGTTTGGAACGGGTTTTCATTCAACAATGCTTCCAAATTGTCGGCTTGAAATTTTCATGACGTTCCAGAGCGCGGACGACCGCTCGCGTCAAAATCACTATCTTTAAAGCGAAACCAATATTTTCATATATTATGTCATCTAATATTTTCCTCAAGAACTGAACAAACAAATTCACAAGTTTCAGCAATATTTTGTTCTTGTTGGAATTTATATTGAATGCAGCGAATATAGAGTTTTTCGTCGCTCATTGCATGAAGCATTATTTTTAAGGATATGCGCACCAATGAATCATAATGATTGGTGTTTTAGAAAGTTCAACACCAATCTCGCGAAAACAAAAAAAAATACTTCTATTTAAGATAATTACATCAGAGGGCTGAAAAAGACTAAAACTTTTGCATACACCCAATACAAATAACCATCAACTACCAGAGCGCTTTGAAGACGAATATAAAATTTTTCGTCGCTCATTGCATCAACCGTTATTTTTAAGGTACCGTTATTTTTAAGGTGTACGCCAAGAAATCATAATGAATTGGCGTTTTAGAAAGCTCAATACCAATCTCGCGAAAACAAAAGAAAATATTTCTATTTAAGATAATTACATCAGAGGGCCAAAAGAAGACTAAAACTTCTGCATACGTCCAATACAAATAGCCATCACCTATCGTTAGCTACTACAGTGCCTTGAAGACGCCCACGAACAGACAGATACTCCCGCGGATTCCCAAGTCGCGTCCGAGAGCGAAATCGAATAACGTCCTCTCCCCCTAAACAGCCAGGCCGACTCCGAGTCGTTTTCCGAAGTTGACCTCCGGAGACGCGCGAGGAGCGCTACGCTCCTCGTGGCACCAAAAATGAGGACGGGGCACCTCGCCAGCGGAGGTAACTATCGAGGTGCAAGATCGGAATTGCAAAGCGGACGGTGGATCCCGCAGAAAGAGAGACGGCCGACAGAGAGAGAGAGAGAGAGAGAGAGAGAGAGAGAGAGAGAGAGAGAGAGAGAGAGAGAGAGAGAGAGAGAGAGAGAGAGAGGAAGGGGCAGAGAGGGAGAGAAAGAACGGCTCTCGCGCGATGCGATCTTTACCCCGATATACGGAGAAATTCCGGGAAGAGGTACTTTAACGACTTCCAAACAAGATCTATGGAAGACCCCCGGTGACCTTCGTTACCATTACTTTCCGCGTGGTGTACGTCTCGCGGCCGGTCGTTACCGTCGCGGTTACCTCGGGACGTCGTCTTCCGAGAGCGCGAAGCGGCATCGATCGCGCCAGCGATCGTCGTAGCGAGCATCGCCGGCGATCATCAACGCGCCCTGACGCGACCGAGCGGGGAGAGGGGGCCGGTAATTAATAATGAGAAAAGAAGAAAAAAAACCGCTCGCGGATCGACGCATCCACACACGCGATCGTGGACGTATTTTCCGCGCAATTCTCGTATGCAACCCCACGCGCGGCCGTTTAATCGCCATTCCTATGCGCTCTAACGCGCGGCGCGGTCTAACGGCGCGGCCGACGCTTTCATCGGCAATTCCACATCGACGACGCCCGCCGATGGACATCCTCGACGCCAGGCGAGCGCCGATAAACACCGGAACCGACAGTTTCAGCTAGCGTACTTGGCACCGGCCGGCTGAAACAGCGCGAGCGCGAACCGACGCGACAGCGCGGCGGTGCGGCCTCGCGGCGGCGTGTCTCCTATCGGCGCTCGTCGAACGGTTCTTCAGCCTCCTGGCAATTTTTATCACCGGCATCCGGGGCCGTAAAAATGCGTCGGCGCTCGGTGACATACGTAGCGCGCTTGTCGCGACCGCATAATGCTCTTCCACATAGCGCACGCACGGGCCATTCGCGCGCGTAAACGAGCGCGTCCGCTCTCCCTCCTGCCCCTCTCTCCCGGTCTCTCTCACCGAGCAGGTGAGAGAGGAGAGAAGTCCTCTCCCCCTGCCGTTGCTGCTCCTCCGAGAGCGATTTGTATGCGGCGGCCCACCTCGTCGGGAAAGAGGAGAAGCGGCTATAAACAACGCGACGCACCACCAATACCTAGATGGAATCACGGCAGAAGCTGGCAAGCACACGCACGCACGCACGCACGCACGCACGCACACACGCAGCGAGTGCGCAGCGTGCGCTGATCGGACGGGCTCAGGTAGTGGAGATGTAGCGGAGGTGCCCAACGGAGCCGAAGGGACAGGGTCGGACACGCAACTCCGCCCATCCTCGCGTCCGTCCACCGGAAGCATATATCGCGCCTACTGCATTCGATATGACTCTTCTGGAAAGCAGCCTTACGCCTGTTCACGACGCATCCCTCTTGTCAGCCGTTTGAGTGCAGCCGCCGACCGGTCGGAGGCGCGCACCCTCCTGGGGTTGCGCGCCCTCGCGCTGAGACCGATGTACGCGCGGATACTTTACTTCGTTTCTGGGTCTCGTTGGAATCTGCGTCTCCCGGTCCTTCATGCTCTAGGCGGACGTGAGGATTTTTCGCTTTTGGTGTTCAGAAGCGAGCGATGGCTGCAGTTTCTGCTGGAAATCGCTCGAATTTATGCAACGGAGCGTTTCGTGTTTTCGCTTTTAGCGGGCGGATTGGAATCGGCATTTTTGCCCCTGTGAAAGGTAGTTTTTTGGGAAATTTGTTATTTTGGCCGCTTCGGCAGAAATTCGTCTAAAATGTCGACATATCAAGATTGACCCTTCAGGGGCGCTCTTTGGTAGAGAAAACGGTCGCAACGCATCTCAGGGTTACGAGTGGGTTCTTCTCGTTCGGAGATGATTGACACAATTTTTGTGACAATTTAATTCTTTCTGATTCTCGACAATTTTCTATCTTTACTTGAGAATCTATAGAACAAGATTAATCATATTTTCCGTTATTATCGATGAACTTTATTGAGCAGTTGCCGAATCCCATCACGATAGACACTGAATGGCTTTGAGGTTATAAAGTCATCGAAGAAAATTCGTACGTCGTCAACTGTCAAAAAATGTGTATCAGACAGTGCGCGTTACATCATCCGAAACAAGTGAAAATCCGACGGAGCCAAGTCTGGAGAATACACCGCGTGTGGAAGAACTTTCAAACCCAAGTGTAAGATGCTTTCCTTTGTGGCTTCTGCTGTATGCGGTTTCGCATTGCAGCAGGATGACTTTACGGCTGCCTCGTCCAGCAAATGGCCTTTTTTCTCAACTACATCGCTCAAACATATCAATTGCTCTTGGCAAATCTCTGCTTTAATGGTTTTACCCGGTCCCAAGACTTCATAATACAACACACCCTTCTGGTCCCACTATACCTGGTATACAGAGAAGAACTTTTATTCCGAAACGTTTGGGTTTTGCTGTCGATATTGTCGATTGACCAGGATCTACCCATGATTTTTTGCGTTTAGAATTTTCATAAATAATCCATTTTTTGTTACTACTCACAATTTTGTGCAACAAATCTTGTCTGGCGAGCTAACGCGGGTGGTCAATCGGCGATTTTTGTTGTCAATGGTTAGCTCGTGTGAAACCCACTTCCCTTCTTTTTGTGTCTTTCCTATACGATGTAAACGATCGCAAATAGCTTTCTGGCTTACTCCCAGCTTTTCCGCAAATTATCATTGTGTTTGTGCCGTATTTTCATTCAGCAGATTTTGCAACTCGTCGTCTTCAAATTTTTTTTACTGACCAGAGCGTGTTTGGTCGTGAAGATCAAAATCATCACTTCGATAACGTTCAAACCAGTTTCGGCACGTGCGATCGGTCACAACATTTTCACTTTAGCAGTAAAAATCATTTAAGTTGCTTGAAAAGCGTTTTTGTTTAAATGAAATGCAAAATGCATCGCGTATCGAATATGCTCTTTATTGATAGCCATCGTGAACATTATTGATTGAGGTTATGTGCAACAAACGTCCTTTCGAAAAATCAAATGTCAACACTTTAGAACTGCAAAAGAGCGCGAGGACATTTCAATTTAAAATTTTACTCTGAGCTATGTAAATTTCGTCGGAAAGAATTAACTGCTAGACTTAATGAGATACATATATGAATTTTAATGAATATAATTATATGAAAAAAAGGTTTGGCCGCACGCTGTAGATATCGCAAAAATATTGTTAATTTGAAATACGAAGCTGCATCTGCCGGAACTTCCGATCGTGGAAAAAGCAATTGCAACTTGAGTAAAATTTCTGATATGCACATATCATAAGGGAGAAAAACTCAACGCGAACCTTGCGGAGGAATCCTCCTCGCGAAGGAGTATCGACCTTGTTTCGTCTTCGACGTAACGAGGAAGTCCGCGGGCGAGCACCCCAAAAGCGCTCGTAAATTTTCGTCTCTGCCGACGGAAATCCAACCGCTCGTCGGCCAAGGGAGACTCGGCTCAAGTGTTTTCCGCATAATCGATAGTCGCGGCTACGTAACCGCGGGGTGACTCCGGCGGGTAATTTAATCGCCTTCGTGTTAAGGCGCTCGAGATCGCGTTGCGCCCAAGTTATTGCACCGCTCGTGCCGGATAACTCAAACATCGCTGCAACTTAATCGTCACGTCTCGCGTCGAAAACTGCGCCGGTTTTTATCGACGACGTCCGCGGGGACAAGCGGGAGTCGAGGAGGAGGAGGAGAGAGAGAGAGAGAGAAAATTTATTGTGGACAGAGAAAAATTCTGTGGGACGAACAACAGCGCGCGATGAACGTCCAAACAGATAAGAATAAATGTGACAGAAACCGAAAGTATGAAAATTTGCAACGACACAAGGAACTTCGGAGCGGGGAAGAATCGCCTCGCGGAGTGCAATGCGCTAATATCTGCTTCGGGAAATATGGAGCAAACGTAACACCCACTGGAAGTGAGGACGAAAAGACCGAGAAGAAAAAGGGAAAGGCGAGAGGAGCTTCCCGCCGGCAGCCGGCAACTTTGTGACGCATGTGAGGCTCAAGTTAAATTCAAGTGGCTCACGACTCTTGCCGAACAAGAGCGCTGCGGCAAAAGTTATCGACGTTCCAGGACTTTCCTGAGAGAGCTCCTTTGTCTAGTTCTTCCCCCGAGCGCGGACGCAACGTTCCGCCGGAGGTTCGAGACGACGATTTTTCCGCCGGTCGTCGGGACTCGTCGGCGAGCGGAAATGATATCCCGAACGCCGGAACGCAAAGTCGCAGGCGATTGTAGGAGGATTCGGAAAATCCAGAGTCCAGGCCGTGATGAAAGATCCAAATCCGGAGGCTAATTCGAAATTGAATGACACAGAAAGGAGCACAGACAAGTGAAAAAAAAAGATGAACCTGACGGGAAAGGCAGAATTAGATGAGGCATAATTAGAGATAATGAAAATAATTAATTAATTTGGAAAGTTTCGTAATTAAATCAGAAACAATTATCATCAGACGCGAAATCGCAGCGAAGAAATTGAGACTGTCAAATGCAAGCTTGGCTTCGACCAACCGAAACAAGCTCGAAGTATCCTGGAGCGAAGAATCAGGTGTGTAACGAGTGTGAGGTCCGAAGGAGCGTTCGAGTCCTGGTACTCACCTCTGAGTGCCTTCATGTGCGCCACCGCCATCCGCAGGATGGTGAGCTTGTCGGGTTTCCGGGCCAATGCTGAGCAGGTCGGCACCATGTCGGAGAGCTCGGTGATGTAGGCGGTCATCTTGTTCCGCCGCCGCCGCTCGATCTCGCAATGATTCTCCCTGCAGTAAGTCGCAAGACAAAACCGAGGTAATTGCATAGTTCGAGGAATCCATGCGGTTTCTGCCGCGATGCGCCGGAAAAAAAAACGGCGCGAACAACTCGCGCGCGTCTCGCGCGGAACTCTCCCGACGGCGGAACGCTTCTCGCGCGGACGGGATGTTTCTTGCGCGCTCGCCGCGCGCGACGGCAGGCGGCGGGAAATAGCGTGAAATGACGTTCGCGACACGGTGCTCGGGCATTTAATGCTGTGACGCGCGGATTTACATAATCGCGAACGGCTCCTCGTCGCCCGGCGGAACGTCCGGTGTTGACCCTCGAGTAGGCGCGCGCCAGGTAAACCGAGAGGCATTCGGAAACAAGAGCAACGCGGTTTGATACTTAAAGTTTATTATTTTAACAAAACATTCTCTTTTAATTAACAAAAAAAAAATAAACATTTTTCCTATACGCGCTGAGAAACCATTTAAAAATCGCTCGCTGACCCCGTGCTTGAGGGTCAACCAACGTTTATTGGTTTTATCAAGAAACTCTCTTCATATCGGCAAAAAATAAACATGAACGCTCTTATGTTTCTAAACTTTTTTTTCTTACACCCAAAAAAGTACTCTATTTGTAAAATGATTTTTGCCATAGTCTCATATCCTAAGCGAAGCCTTTTACAGAAAGAGGATTCCTCTTTCGATAAAGCGATTAAAGCAAACCGTTCATCTAAAGATTTATTAGATATTATTCTAACAGTTATTCTAACTGTTTTCCTCTTATTTCAAGAGGATTTCCTCTTATATCAATTAATTTTCCTCTTATATGAAGAGGAATATGTTGATTTGAATGTTGGCTTCTTCTGTTCAGTCATGCTCTACCTCCAAACATGAACGAAAAAATAATCATATGCTCGTGAGACAGAATATTTGAGACGCTTTTGAAAAAAGATGTGTGTTGCTGCAACATATAATGAAGATAATTGACCGATATTTGGTCAAATGTAGTTTATAATCTATTGCAAGAAATTGAATAATATATTCTTTCTTTTAACCATGTATCATACAATTGGTTACGATGAACATCTTTGTAGCTATAAAGTTCACAACAAAACTAATTGGAAATTTATTTGTTATGATGATCTTATTTCATTCGTGCCTACTTATTATAGAACTGGAGCCAGAAGTACATCTATATATATATATATATTACTTTTCGCTATATATTACAATACTTTTTTCAAATTAACTAGTATAACCAGTAAGAATAAAGTACAGTAAGAATAAATAATAATCCTCTTCAAAAAAGACTAAATCATCTGTGTATAAGAGGAAATTTATATTAAAATCAATGATTTGCATTATACATATAACATATAATCCCTCTAACTTTAAAAATAATGTGTTTATAATATTTTCCTCTTAATCTTAGAGAAATCCTCTTAAGAGGATTATACAAGAATATATATATAAGAATAAAATCCTCTAAAATTTAGATGATTCCGTTGCTTCTGAAATTACTTTCTTCTGGCTGTACTTAAGATTTAATCATTAAATTGTTATAAAATTCATTCTCCTATTTCTTATGTTTATAATACGTCAGAAGCTATTTTAATTACACGAAAGTTTAACTGGCTGACTTGAGTGTAAATTAATTCAGGATACAAAAAGGGTTGAAGGGTTAACTCGGCCCGTCTCGACGTCGCGTCGCACAATTTGGACAATGTCACACGAGCGACGACACATTTGTGCGATCTGTTCCGACAAAATCCGTAAAAATAATACACCTCGCTTTCGATTGAGCCAATTTCTGGTCGACGCTGGGAAGTCACAACTTCGACCAGCTGAGAGAGTGTCGCAGCGTAATGCTGCACATTTACGCGCGATTTCGAGCCTCGACTGTGACGCACCGGTGGCGGACGGAACGGCGAATGTTCCGCTCGTTGAAAAACGACGTCGCTACTCGAGCTCGGGAAACCGTCGACTTCGACGAGGATCTGGGAGCTCCCTTTCGACCGAGAGAGAGAGAGAGAGAGAGAGAGCGAGAGAGAGAGAGAGAGAGGAGGGGAGAGAAGCGAATAAACGAGCGTCAGCATTTCCTCGGCCGCTCGTTAAAAGCGTCACAATTTACTACCGCGCAGCGATGAAGATTTCGCGCGGAATAGGCAAAGTGGAATTGACTCGGCCACGGTCGTCGCCGGCGTAGTCCATGATCGATTCGGCCGATTAATTCTCGAGTAGTCTCCATCTAGCCGGGGCAGGATATCGGGCGAGACCACAATTTGAGGCCTCCCCTGTTATTACGCTACCAGAGGGTAACCGTCGCGGATAACGGCCAGGCACGTCCCTTTGCTCGGATGGCGAGCTGCGTAATCGCCGGCGCGCAAATCGTAAATTTAATGGCATTTAATTCGCGACAATTTTCTAAGGAAACTTTGCCAAGATGGAGGGAGGAGGGGAAGGTGGCATCGCACGCAACACGTAAGCCGGATCCGTTTCGATCGTCCGCGCTGCGCGAGCTCGTCGCGGATTTCGTCGCAGCAGCGCTCTTCTCCACCGATTACCATCGACCCTCGTAAAAGCGATATGCGGGGGTTGCACAGTTTCAGCCGCGAGCGCGGGGGGTGGCAGCTTACCGCCAAAATTATCATCCCGCTCCGCCGTTGGAATATCGCCGCCGTATCAATCGGCGGGTTCTTTATTGGAGCGGACAATTCCATTGTCGTCCATTTTACGGGCCGTCGCGAACCGGTTAGGGAGGGAGAGCGGGGGAGGGGGGCAGTCCGCGAAATGACAAAAAAATTTGTTCGCCTCGCGAAATGGCTAGTTCCACGATCAGCTCGTCGATATCCCGCAGCCGGCGGTGCGAGATTAAAATTTGATATCGACGCGCTGATTGGTTTGCCGCTAAGTTTTCTTTTTTTTATTTTTTGCTGTCTCTTGCTGTCGCGGCGACAGGCGAGAGGAGGGCTGACCGCGATATGAAATATGGAAAAATAAAATTGATCCGTCCGCGCGCGCGGCCGCGCGGCGCTGCGCGACGGCTCGCGCTCCGTATTACGTTCGATATTTCGGAAATTGATTCCCGATCTAATAAATATCAATCGCAAGTATCCCGAAAGTCCGTAATTTAACGTCGGTAAATCAATCCGGGCCACCCGCGCTGAATTATGGTCGCGCGCGCGCGCGCACGCGGTTCCAGTCGGCGCGATCAAATTCAATTGACCGTGTCACACCGGGAGAGAACGCGAGAGAAAGGGAGAGAGGGAGAGAGAGAGAGAGAGAGAGAGAGAGAGAGAGGAGAATATCCCACCGTGAAATGTTACTCGCGATATAACAATCCGCAGAATTTTTCAGCGATAAAACAACCGAGGTCCGGGACGGAGAGGTGAAATCGCCGAGTCAATGCCAATCGTCCTTCGCGCGCGTCTCTCCCTCCTCCTCCTTCTCCTCCTCTCTTTCATTATACGATTCGGTGCAATTTTTCTGCCGGGCCGCGCGCGCGCGCGGGCGGTCGTTATCATTATTATTATCTCGTCCCGGGGACCAAGGGGATCCGTAACGCTCGACGACGTCGTGGACGGCCCGGCGCGGAGAGGCCCGCTATTTAAAAGAGGCCACGGCGCTTAAAGCGCAAGTATAAAGCGGAGTATCCACTGCGCGCGGCACTGCGCCGGGCAAGAGAGGCGAACGAGGGGGAGCGAGGGGAGGCGAGGGGGCGGGGGGATGGAGGAACGCGATCCGTGGAGAGGAGGACGGAGAGAGAACTCCTGGGTCAGAGGTCAGACGCTCCGAAGTTGCCCGCTCGCTCCGTGGGTCCAGCTCCGTGTAGCGCAGCATACCGGGTGTCCCGATACTCCCGCACACGGATGTCCGTGGAGGAGCGGGCTCTCGTCTGACCCGATCTGACCCGGGGTCGCGATACGATAAATTAACACTCTTACTGTGTAATAATCTCGGCCGCGCCGCGCGTGTTCCTCGCGGTTCTGCGCGCTTTCGACTAGTTCGATCCTTTTTCCCCTCCTCCTACCCCTGCCTCCTCCCGTTTTTAATTCTGCCCCGATCGGACGCGCGGGTAATCGTCCTCCTCGTCGGTCTCTCTCTCTCTCTCTCTCTCTCTCTCTCTCTCTCTCTCTCTCTCTCTCTCTCTCGACGGCCGCGACGATACTCGAGCAGTCCGCCGTAACGGAACTCGCGCGGTAAAAAGCCGCGGCGTTTTTTGCAATCGGCAAGAATGATTATTTAAAGCGACCGGCGAGAAGCACACAATGAGGCGCGAGACGCCGCGCGTTTACCACGCTATTTGATACACCGCTAGTGCTCGTCGGACGCCGCGCCGCGGCGAACGACACGGTAAAAATGCCTGACCCCCGGAGGCCGGGGGTCAACGTTAACCCCGTGACACCAGTCGCGTTGCTTGAAAAAGAGGATACTAGTTGAAGGTTGAGGCAATAGATCTCTCATCCGCCGTGACTTCGTTGCGAGGCGCAGGACGCGAATGCAAAGCGCGCGCGCGCGAGAGGGAGAGAGAGAGAGAGAGAGAGAGATAAAGCAGAATGAGACGGAACATCCGACGTCGTGAACACGCGATTTATTTGCCGTTCGCGTTAATTAATCAGCGGTGAAAGGCGATGGCGATGGCTGAGTCACCGAAACGCGCGCCGATAATTTACAGCGCGACCAACGTAATGGCGAATACAGACGTTCGCGCGAAATGCCCGGTAATTGATACGAAGAGAGAGAGAGAGAGAGAGAGAGAGAGAGAGAAAGAAGGCGATTGAAAGCGTCGTCGAGAGAGTAAATGTTTATTCGCCGAAAATATCCTCTCGTTACATCGACGCCGTGCTCGACGTCTAGTTGCTTCGACGTTGAACATTTTCGGGGAACTTCAACCTGGAGACTACGGATGTGAACCTGACAAACAACTTAATAAAAAAAAAAGTTCTCAATACGGTCCGATTGTACTTCGTTTGTACCTGTTTGTACCACATTTTGTTTCGTTTGCAAGACCTCAAAGAGGTCTA